ATAAAAATTCGTAAAAGAAAGTTAACTTGCAGCACGTAAGAATGGAGCATATGAGAAAAATTAGCGAAATCACGAGCCATTCTAAAATTTCCAAAGTAATACTTGATTTTCAATGATTCGCCAAAAGCAGACAAGATTTCACTTTCTTCGATATTAATAAAGCTATATTGCGATGACGACTTTCATAAATTTCATATTCATAGACTGAAGTAGGGCTGCAAATGACCTATCGAATTACATGGCCAATAAAATGCGTCGTTTACATGGAGTCGCGAGATTCTTGTCACACACACTCGCTTGTACTCCAGCGTTAATTATGGATATTTTTTTTTCTATTCAACAACGCAACTTAAGTCGTTCGACTCTTAACTTAGCCTTTTGCACTCAAATGTTAACTTACAGAAATTGCGTATGACACAAGATATGTAATGTACCGAGCAAATTCTGTGTCACTTGTATTGTGCATTTAACTTGAATTGTTTTATCTTAGGGAAACGTTAAATTGATTTACGCTGTTTTTTACAATGCTGGCATAATAAAACTATCGTCACAAAAATTGCACCAACATTTGTCTGACACCAAACGAACGATCTCGTATGTTTATTACTTTATCGTGTAGAATATTTCTCGACTTAATTGCTCGATATACTGAAATAATGACTGATCTAATAATCGTGTCAGTTATTTTTAATAAAAATAACTAACTCGCAAATTATATTAAGGATATATTATAATATCATATTTATTCTAAGGTTATAATGCATTCGAGGTATTCGAGGAATGCTAAAAATTAATACAATCTCAATCTGGACAGAATTATTCAACTTTAGATTGCAGTATATCTTCGAGAATGTTTTACACGCGCTATTTTACAAATAATATATTAATGTATCGCATCGTTTTAGCTGTAAATCTAAATAAATTTCTTCTTAGGGACAAAGTAGAATATCTTGAACGGCCTTTTATCGTCCGCACAATGCGAATGCGTGTGCGACAATATAAAAGTATGCTTTCGAAATACATAATGCGAAATATCACGTTTGCCTAGTTCGCTTTTTCTCTCTTTCTTTCTTTCTATTTTGTTCTTCCGTCATCTCTTTCATTCATTCTCTTATGTTCTATTGTATGTATATACTTAAAGCGCACTTTAAGCGACCTATATCTTGTGACAGAATTCAGGACAAAACTTTTTATGCTGTGCAATACAAAAAATATGTTTGAAGACTCAAAATATGTATACGGAATACATATCGGAATACACGGCACATTAAATGCAAAATATGATAGAGAATTCGTGTCTCAAACTTTGTCACGTATCAAGATCACCTGAAGTAGGCTTAATATAATGTATTGATAAAGATTCCATTTATATGTACCTATACATAATAATATGTATATATATGTATATGTATATATATATATATATATATATATATATATATATATATACCTCTCTCTAACATGTAATATTATACATCATGCGTATTTACGATATATACTGGTTATCTACAGATATTATACAAAAAACACGGGGCATTTTCTTCGCTCTCAAACGAGAATTAACTATTATTTATCGACGTTCAGCTGACGAAGTACGCGCGTTTCGTATACTTCCTGTGAATGCACGCTCGTGTCCGTGTGTGCCCATGGATGGACACTGGGGATGCGTAAAATGCGTGGATTACGCGGCCACGCGGAGTGCTTAAATATAATATATATATTTATACGTGCCCTCTCTCTCTCACGCGTTGCGTACATTCATTAATTTATATTTATTTTCACGTATAGTATCACAAGTTTTGCCGACACCGCTCTCACTTTTTCGCTGGCACTGCTTGTCGAAGCTTACGCCGCTCCCTTGCCGCAACAACGCGCCCCTTTCAACGGGGTGCGCCTTTAATATTAGTCAATGATTTTCAAGTACCGATTGGTTCATCGCCGCGAGGCTCATGCAATCGTAATAAGCATCGTATATAATGAATTGCTTGCGATTTTTTATTACCCTTAGGCAATGGATACGAGATGTATGACTGTTGGGGATATCAAAAGCTCAAATCTTCCCACATTTAAATCAAGTTTGCAAGAAAGAAATCATTATTTTTTTATACACAACATTATTACTTTATTATTCTCTTATGACTGTATTTCATGTAATTTGATAGTTCGGTTGCGAAATTGAAGAAAGAAAGAATATATGAGACAAATTTACTTAATTAAAAAAATTTACGAGTGCCAACATCGACATGTAAGTTAAAGATTTTCACGAGACGCTAAATCGAACTTATCGTTCTTAATAAAAAATAATTGATTTGATGATTGATGATCACTAATGATTAATAATTAATGATTGATTTAATAGAGACATCATCACATCCCCATAAATAGTAATTTCGATGAAATCGAATTCTTCGATACAGTACGTGTTACATTAATTCGTTTTGAAATCGATATTATGCCGTCATGTCGGTATTGTTCAACAAATTTGTAAGATTGTCAATTAAGGCAATATCGAGTAGTTGAGGGATTGTTGATAATAATTACCAGCGATTACATGACTCAATGAGGTATAAAATCTTTCTGCCTTTCATGGTAAAGGGAAGTAAACGATAGCTAATAACGAGAAGTCAACGCTGCACTCTCTGAGATGAATTGTATTACCTAATAACTGAATAATATGAATAATATGAAAATAAATAATTTGCAAACATAGAGAAAACGTATTTAATTCGGATAATATTAGTCTTTATATAATAATAACATATCGCAAGTTATTATATAATATTAATTAAAAAATTCAAAGTTTGTTTTCTTCTTTGCTTGCTTTTTTTTCGTTTCACATTGTTTTCCATATATAAAATCTCGCTTCCTTTATATAAAACGTCGTCGTTCATTTAATACTTATATATATATGTATAAAATATATGCATCTATTATGTCAGAGATACATACGTATAATTTCGTTTGAAAAATTGATTTTGCATATAAACAATTCTATAAAAATTATAATAAAATTATTTATATATGAGTAATAAAAAGGCGAGCATGAGAAGAAAAACGAAATAATTTTGAATTTCGTAATTGTGATGTGTCATGTTGAAATGACTGAATAAAGTCATTGTTGTTAAATAAAAAGCAAGAAGACATAAAACCAAGAAGAATCGATATTAAATTTTATTTAATACGATTGCATATAAAATAATACTTTTGGTCTTCTTTTTTGCGTTTCTTTTCAGTTTTGTTTTCTTTTTATTAATTTCGTTAAACGAAACATTGCAAGTTCAACTCGAAGATGGACGATAAATACTCAAGTATGTGCCGGATTATTACGTAATCTCTTGATGTGATGATGTGCAAGAAATAAAGAGTATCAACGAGATGCACGGCGTCTAATTGCCTAAAAGTATGTCGATGTTACTCAAACGTATCATAAAAAATTCTCTTGCAATACAGCGGACTCGTACGATGATATCAAACTGCTCAGCTTTGATAAACTCGGGAATATAGAATGCAGGATGATTCAGTGGCTCATTCAAATACTTCCTCCGAACACCTATCCCCGATACAGAGCAGATAAATTCAATGGGTGGATTATGAAATAAAGATAACATTAAGATAAGTTATAACCAAACATTCGAAATAGAAAAAACGTAGAGTCACGTTAATATTTTCCCACGAAACACATTCGTAATTGTAAAATGTTTCAATAAGAACAAAATTCCATTCACAATTTTATACGCTATGAATAGTATTCTCTCACGAATTAAAGATGTCTAAAGTGGGTTTTAATCTCCTCTATCACGATTGTTGTTTGCAATTGTACTTGAAACGATGCTTACGAAGTCATTGTCAGTTTAAGTGACAACACACAGTAACGGACAATAAGTTTAAGCGAATGTAATAGATCGTACACATGTAAATATTTATTTCCCTATCTACTTTCTTATTTTCTGAACATAATACACATCATATACGTGACCTCCTTAAAGTTTTCGGCATATTTAAGAATGTGAATAATATTCTACAAATTTATTTAAACTCGCGTGTCCATATTCTCTTTTATTATTAAATATTCTAGAAGCAGCTTCATAGAAAATGCAATAAATGATAAACTATATAAATATAACGAATTTTATGGATAATTTTGGTCAACGACAATATGAATGTATAAAAATATAAACTTATAAAATACAAATACAAACTATATAAAAATTTACTTCCTTTCGCACTGCGTATATTTTTTACATATTTATGTAAAAAAATTAATTTTCATGTAATTTATATTGATCAGTTATTGTGTAACGTAAAAAAGATAATTCTATCTTTATGATAATTATGTAAATTGATTTTGTATTCTATTTCTTATAAGAATAAATTGTGTGGATATAAATATGACAAAAATTTTTTATAAAGAGAATAATAATTTAGAAAATATTTTTAGATTCTCTGACAAGCAACTTGAATAATGTGTGTATGAATATATTATTGTAAAGTAATAATAATAATAATAATCATCACTATCATATTACATATATTTTACATGTAATGAAGACATATTACTTATAATTAATAAGAATAATCTCTAGAATATTTCGCCCAACAGTTACGCAGTAATGTAACATAAAATAAAGTCGATCCTCGTGACGATGAACCATAATTCTCAGTGAAATACCCCGAAGCCTACCTCTCGGCGAGTTTACCGTCTGTAGACGATGTTCTCCTCTTCATCGTCCTCGTTCTCGTCATCGTACTCATCGTCATCATCGGGTGGCCAACAGACAACGGCGTCGACGGCGTCATCATCAGTGTTGTCGGTACGACGTGAGCGTCGACGTGGCTGTGCTCGTGGCGGTGACGAGAAGGTCGAGGAGGTCGCAGGCGACGTCGGCGCCGCGTTGGTCGCGGACGCCGTGATCGCGGGCAGATCCGGCATCGGGGTTGGTATCGGTGCGGCAGCGGTCGCGACGTAAGCCGCGGCGGCAGCGACTCAGGCCAAAGCGTAAGGGTGGGTAGCGTGATGTCACAAGCCCGGTGCCGCGGTGGCGACAGCGGGTGGCGGAGGAGCGCTGGTGGTGGCTACGCTTGTCGCGTGATGATAAAGCGGACTCTGATAATAATCCTGATGATGATGATTCGTCATGTGCATTGGCCCGGCGGCGTTTGTACCGGCGTGCATGCCGTTGTGATGATGATGGCTGGGGTGCGCTGAATGCGCGTGCGGATGATGCGGCGAGCCAAAGTTAGCGTAGTTCTGATGCAGCTCGTACATCTTCATCTCGGGCGGCTTGGTGTCCTGAGCACCGGGAGAAGTGCCCGCCGTATCGCGCGGCAATAACCTGTTGATGCTAAACGGATGATTGGCTGCCGTTCCGTAAAGCGGTTCCTGCTTCAGGCTGCCTGTCATGCCGTGGTGCAGGGTCGCGGTATCGGACAATAGCTGCGGATGAATACCGCGGCTGACCATTGCGGTGAGTTCGTCGTGTGCAGCGCTGAGATCGGGTCCGAGAAGACCGCCAATATCCGTGTCACTCTTCAGAGCGGTGTGATGCTGATGCAGACTCGTGTGATGGTGATGGTGCGAAGACACCAACGAGTGCAAGTCTTTATCGTCTTGCGGCTGAGGGCCGCCATGGTGGATGGACGAACCGGTCTTCTTAGAACCGGGCGCGACTTCGTGAGTGGATGGACTGTGCTGGCCGGCGATGGTTGCGCCAGCTGCCACCGCTACCGTAGCTGTCGCTTGATGCTGATGTTGCTGGTGTTTGTTGCTTTGTCTGGTCAGTTCTTTTTTCTCGTCCTTGAACCTCTTTTGACGTCGTAAATAACAACCATTCTCAAACATATTGCCGCTGTCAGGGTGCAGCGTCCAAAATGATCCTTTACCAGGTTTATCCGGCGTGCGTGGCACCTTGACAAAGCAATCGTTAAAGCTTAAGGAATGCCTAATAGAGTTTTGCCAACGCTGCTGATTCTGTCTGTAAAATGGGAACAGATCCATGATGAATTGATAAATCTCCGAGAGAGTCAACATCTTGTGAGGCGCGTTCTGTATCGCCATGGTGATTAGGCTGATGTAGGAATACGGTGGTTTCGCGTGAGTGTAACTACGTCGATAGGACTTGTCGGTGCGGGCACGCTGTAGAACCGAATTCGGCGAGTCCGGTTCTGTTAGAGCGAGAGGATCCCGGCTGACGCCGGTACCTCCGCCGGGAGTCAACGGACCGTATCCGACGGCACTCATACAGGCACCGCCGGCGCCCATGGAAGCACCGCTGTAACCGCTCATCCCGCCGCCTCCCATCGACGCCATTCCCATTGCTGAACTCATGGTACTCATGTTAAAACCTCCGGCGCCCTGAGGACTGCAGCTGGGCCCGACTCCCATCGACATGCCCATCGGCATGCATCCCATTGAGTTTATCGAGCTGTACGTGGGCGCCATGCTGCCCATACTGGACATTGCGGCGCTGGTCATGGCACCCGCATCGCCGTACAGCTTTTGCGACTGAAGCATGGTCATAGAGCTCACCGGTGCCGGGGTGGCCTGCTGTCGCGTCGTCGTTGTCAAACGAGAATCATGAAATCCGCGGTACCACGGCTGCTGGCAGTCGGGTATTCCCTTAATCTTTCCACCGGATAAATCTGATGTATCTCGGTCCGCGCGCTTAGCTCGCTGTAATTAAGAAATTCTTTAATTCTATCGCTGGCAAGTCACAAATCACAAGAGATGATCGTTATACGCACAGATCTCTCACAGAGAGATGCGCGACGAGTGCCTGAAGAATTCGCCTCACACTGAAAGAAAGAAGAACTTCACCAGAAAGAAGAACTTCACCAAATGTTCTTCCTCAGAGCGGGGTAATGCACTGAACGGCACTGTGTATTGACGGAACTTTTTCTTTTGTCACAACCTAGAGTAGAAACGCTAATTCCTTTCTACTTCTAGAAGAAAAGTTACGAGCGTATCTTTACAGAATCTTGGAAGGAGTTAGAAGCGCATACTGCGTTAGCAGAGAGCGACGAGTACTAAAGTGGCATCTGGTGAACTTTATTCACCACTTATGCCTCTTCTTCCCGGAACACAATGCACAGTCCGTTTATTCACGGGAAGATGCGCATTCGATGCACGCGAAGCTGACGGGAGCGAACGCGAGCGCGAAAGTGAGTAAGTACCCCCCCGCGGGAGAGTTAGGGGTAATTGTTACCCCAACACCATGGAGGGCACGACGAATGCGAAGCCGACGACAGGAAAAGAGCCCAGGCTCTCACTCGCGTGTTGTACGACGTGGACGAGTGCGCGAAACAACACCAATCACTATACGGTGACGGCCGCTCGTCGGTCGCGCGCGCGGTCGGTTATTTGATCGAGCGGGGCTGCTGTTTGAGCCGCCTCACCACCTCTCACCACACACTCCGCCTCGCGTACCGACGAGTTTCTCTCTCCTCTCTCTGTGTGCCGTGTTGTGGATGGAGGCCGGTTAGCGAGTGTACTCCGCTACTCTTGAGTCGGCGGCTCTTGTTCAAATATACCCCACCATCGGCTGCGAGAGCCGCGCCCGGCGTACCCGGGTCGACCAATCGCGAACCAGCCGTACTTCCACTCGTGCGTCGTCCGACCAATCTGACGATAGCTTCGACGCGCCCGGCAGTCCTCCCGATCGCAGTATGAATCGCACGTCGTTGGATCGTGCGTGGCGCGCCACGGCCTTTTCCTCCCCTCCGACGCTGTACATTCCCCGACGACGACGACGAAGCAAAACGTGATACGCGCATGCACCATGGCCCGCGCGCGCGAGATCTCGAGCCCGTGGAGCGGAACTGGCTTGCGCAATTTCACACGAGACGCCCGGCTCCACGACGTTGCCGCGCCGCGCCGCGTCGCGCCGCGTCGCGCCGCGCCAC